TAATCCGTTTGAATATTCTCTTGCATGACTACAAACTTTTTTGCATGAACCTCATGAATCAATTTCTGACATGTATTACTAGGTTTAACTCAAGATAGTACTTCACTGGCATGCATTAGGACAAAGAACTTTCAAAACTATGAAAAAAGTAAACCAGAGTTTGAGATGCTTGCCTTCTTCATATTGATGCTAAAATCACTTGCAATCACTGAAATCTAAGGATTTGAACCCATTATTCTAGTGATAACCTTACTTGGCTCACTCATTGCTTACGAGCAAGGGTGAATCAAAGAAATCTTAATGGCAGAGAGAAAAGAAGAGGAAAAACAGTTGCACTGAAGGCGCACAAATCTGATTCTGAATATTTCGGGTCTGAAAGCGATTGAAGTTGCCTTCATCACAAGTCAATTCAAAAGCTTTTAAGGAGAAGCAAAAGCATCATTGGAGAAAAAGGAAAGGATCATAAATATTCTAAAGGATCTTTTGATTGTCGTTTGTATGAATGCAGGAAACCAGGACACGTGAGAACCATATTGTCCTACACTTAAAGATCACCAAGCAAAGGAAAAGGGTGAGAAAACCTAAGCTAAGGAGGACAATATGAGAGCAAAAGCATTTTGGCGGATTCGGCATGGACCTCATCAGAGCACGGAACTAGAAGATGAACATTCAAAATTATGCTTGAGGAGACGACAATCCTGATCAAGAAGAGTATGTGAACTTTCCTACGATCAATTTCGTTGAAGTTTCAAAAAACAATTCATTGCATTCATATAGGAAATTAAAGAAAACACATGCTAACTTTGAAACAGAATTTTCGGAACATACAAAAAAGCATGAGGTTTTGACTAAAGACCATCAAATGATTGATTCAAATCATATGAATTTACTGATGAATTTGATGAGTTAAATAAAAAACCATTGTGAATTAGTTGAAAGTATGATGCATTAAAAGTTTCACACATATCACTTAGAATTCTGTATTTAAGAAGTTCTAAAGAGATGGAAAAAATTTTGAGGATTGAAAATTGAGGTTTTAAAAAGCCGAATTTGAGATTCAAAATAAATTAGAAACATGTAAGAAAAACTAGGATGACACCTACTTTTGATCAATTATCAAAACCTTAGGAATAGGCATTATAACTAAACCACTTAAGAAAATCCCTTTCCTTGGAGTAGATGATTTTCATGTGCATGCTAGACTAATCTCACACCACTTGCACAGTTCCCATGTACACATGGGGTGTGGAGGACCAAGGTGCATGATCTACAGCCAATACCAACACATGCATTGCTATATACTTCAAAAGAGGAACCCAAACCTTCTTGGTGATCCCTAAATCTAAC